CGGGATCTGCACCCGCCCCTCTGCTGTGCTGAGGCCGACCTTGCACAGCAGGCCCTGGGTTTCCCTGGGCTGCCGAGGTCCCGCCTTCCTCCGCTGCTGTTTCGGGTGAATTGCTGTAATTCGGTGCCAATTACCAGTTTAAACATCTCCCAGGGCGTGGAAAGGTTTCCCGTAGCAAAACGCAGCTGGCGCTCCTYGGGGCAGCAGGACGTGCAGGGTGATGGCTGCGCAGAGCTGAGGTGCGAGCCGGGCCAGCGCTGGGCGAGCGGGCGGCCTGCGCCCCCCCGGAGCAGCTCCGCGCCGCAGGGCTGCGCGCTGACACGCTGAGCGGAGCAGCCGGCCTCGCCGCGTGGCACTGAGCAGGAAGCAGGGGTTTGGCTGTGGTGACCGCCGTGGTGGGGTGCCCGTGCCCGGCATTCCCTGCTGGGGTGCAATTGTCAACCAAGGGTTATCTACCAGGTGGTATTTGGGTGCCGCTCACAAGGCTGCAAATGCTGTGTGCGCTGCGGAGCTGGCGGCATCTTGGTGCGCAGCTGGAGTGAGCACAGGGTCGCCCGTGCACCCGCAGCCCCCACGGCCCCCGCCGCTCGTGTCTTGCYGACCCTCACGCCCGCAGGGGTGTTGCAGGGCTCCAGAAGAGGGGGCAGCTGGTGCGTGCTGCGTGCCCAGCTCTCTGCCCATCCCGTCCCCCCGCTGTGTTTGGTGCTGCTCCTACTGCTCTGGCTCAGGTATCAGCCTGGGCGCCAGTCCTGGGCTGGGTGACTGGAGGGCTCGGATTAAGGTGGCACTTGGCACTGGGTAGACACAGCCTTAGTGTCGGCAAGCCTAGGCACGGCTTATCTGAAACCTAGCTCAGGATAAAAGCAAGGAGGGTCCCTGGGGCTTGGGTTGGGGTCCTGGCTTCCTGGCTCAGGACTTTCCCATGTTAAGGGATCTCGTCCCGGCTGCTGCGCCCTGGGCTCACCAGAAACCAGGCCAGGCTGGGGGTTTCTTCCCTCGGCAGCGTGGCGGAACGGGGAGGTGGGATGCTGCCTGGAGCCCCCTGTGCCGGGCTGGGCTTCACCTGCTCCAGGAACAGCGAGGCCAGGCCTGTCCTGCTTCCCCAGCTGCGCTGCCGCCCGCGTGCCGCGGGGGGCCCCGAGCCCTGTGCGGGCCCTGCGCCCCAGACACTGCGGCGGCAGGCGCCGCGCTCGGCGCTCCCGTGTTGTTGTGGTACACGGGGCCGGGCCCCGCCGGGCTGCGCGCTCGCAGGAGGGTCGGGGTGCAGATGGGTGGCACCCCGCGCGCTCCGGCCCCGCGTGCCCCTGCTCCACATGTGCTCTCCCAAGGGCCATGTAGCTCCTGCTCCCGGCTTGCTGGCAGGCAGGCACGGACCGGACACAGATAGCGACCGGGCACTCGCCCTGCGTGCCCGCCGCTGCGGGCGGCCTCGCGAACCCTGCGCTCGCTCCCGCGGAGAGGGGCGCCGCGGGCCTCGGGTGAAGCGGCTTTTCCCACCTCGATGCTGTTGGGAGTTGCCAAGTCTGGCAGAGGGGAGGCCGCTGCGGCCGAGCAGCGGGGATTGCTGCTGACAACGCACATGTATGTGCACATACACACGTGTGTACAGCGTGTGYGGGTGCAGTGAGGGTCCCTGTAGCAGCCGGTCGAAATGGCAGGTGTTTCATTGCCTCCATTGCATCTCAATTTTTGTTTTTGAGGAGAAGAAGGAAAAAAAAAGGTGGGGGGGAGAAGGTTCAATCTTGGAAAACAAGTAATACTCGACTAGCAAAAGGCTTTCATCATCTCGCTGTGAAATGAATGCGCGCATTTAAGCAAGGTTGTTTTGAAGCCAGAAGTGCTTTGAGATGATGTGAAACTTGATGAGCAGCTCTGAAACTTTCTTGCAATCCTTCGTCTGGAAGTGTGCTCAAAGCTGAGTTTTGCCATGAATAACTCTTATTTGGAATTCCTTGCTCTAACTTCCTGAAGGAAAGTATCCAGTGTTGGCATGCAGCTCCAGCTGGGAAGTCTCTTTATCTGGAGAGAGGCAGGTCGTGGGTGCCCAAGCAAATCTGTGGATCGTGTCCCAGCCCGTATCACGGCCCTGGAAGGGCCCGGCACAATCCTCAGAAGAGCCTGTTGTGCTTGGGAAGGACAGGGCTCCAGTCCCCTCTGGGCCTGGCTCGGGATGAGGCCAGCGGCCCCGGATGGGTGCCCGGCTTGGACTGTGCCAGGGCAGGCCCTACGGCACCTTGCAGATGGTTCCTGGGGCTGCCTTAGTGCAATGGTGCTTCCCCGGCGCGTTTTGGCAGGGCTGCACGCGCTGCCCGCCGTGCCGGGGCGCCCGGGCCCGCCCGGCACGGCCGCAGGACTGACCCAGGCAGGGCTGCACGCGCTGCCCGCCGTGC